AGCGGGATGCCCTAGTTTTGCCTAAGTCGCCTTCATAGGTTTTGACTTAGCAAGGGTTTTTTCTTTGAAGGAAAATGACTGTCTGGCTTAATGATTACGGTGAACCATTATTGGCATTTAACTTGAAAGATATCTGCAACACTTGCTTGTTGTGTGTGAAGGAAAACTTGTGAATGCAACCTTTATATGAAAGGTGTCTTGCATAAACACACAACCAAGTTAATTGAGAACTACCTATCCTAAGCTTAAGATTGCAGGTTTTTGTAAAGAAAGAAACTCCAACTTATAGGCTCGAAGGGGTTGACAAGGGAATAACTTCCTTATTTCTCCAGTGTTTAGGAGTTGAAACAATACCTCACATCGTCAGCAAAGTTTGATTGAAAGCATACCAACAACAATTATGGATATAACATTTTCATCATCCTCCCTCCAATCTTTGCATAATCAAAAGTTTGAACAAGAGGTATTTTTTGAAAAACAAAGCATAAAGATGTAAATAATAGACAAAATGAATTGAAACAAAAGTTGCAATGCTCATTTCATTAATATGAACGTACAAACATAATTTGAAATCAAACAACTAAAACAAAATAAAGGAAAGTACAAACAACAAGAAACATGGCCTAGTGACTAATCAGTAACAAGGATAAGTTGTCCTGTCTAAAACACTATATTTTAGGAAGATAGTCAGCTGATGTCAACCGAAACTTCACTTTGGATGCACTGGTAGTGGATTGTTATTGACATTAGGATTAGAGTCATGAAAGGTAAAAATTATGTCCTTGATTAAATCGTGCACTCTAACCTTCAGTGCATAACAATTTTCTAAATCATGGCCTGCGACACCTTCATGGAATGCACACTGGAGGTCAGACCTGAAACCAACTGGAAGAGGATTCGAAAGAGGAGGTAGAGTCCTTGTAATAACCCAACCTTTCTGATCCATAGCAGGATAAAGTTCAGTGTATGTCATGGGAATAGGATCAAATCGATTTTTATTACGGTACTGGTTCTGTCCATTAGACGGACGTTGAAGAGCTCGAACAGGTCTTGGGACAACAACCGTAGGAGTCACAACAATAATAGTAGGGTGATTAGCATACTGAGGTCGGGGACGAAGCCTTTTCGCTTCAGTCGTGATAGTGTTAGTCTGATATTCTATTTTCTTCTAGAAGTTCCCATAAGATTTCTTTGCACCATTAGAAGATTCAGCAGCCTTAGATATCTTACCATTCTTGAGTCCTTCTTCCATCCTTTGGCCAATGGTTACCAGGTTTGTGAAGTTGGAAGAGATGCTACCAATCATATTTTCTCAATAGAACAGAGACAAGGTGTCCATGAACATTCCAGTGAGCTCCTTTTCTGCTAGAAGGGGTTCAACTTGAGAAGCGAGTTATCTCCAACACTGAGCATATTCCTTGAAAAACTCTTTTTCGTTCTGATACATATTCTGGAGTTGACGGCGGTCAGGAGCCATGTCAAGATTGTACTTGCACTGCTTCATGAAAGCATTAGCAAGATCTTGGAAGCAGTGGACACTATTATGTTCAAGGTTCATATACCATTTGAGTGAAGCGCCACTCAAACTGTCCTGAAAGCTATGGATGAACAACTTCTGATTGTTGGTATAAGTAGCCATATTTCGGAAGTACATGACTAGATGAGATTTTGGGTAAGAGTGACCCTTATACTTTATGAACTCGGGAGTTTTGAACTTAGAAGGCATAACAAGACCAGAAGCTAAACACATGTTATCTGCATCCACATTGAAGAAGGCAGTACCCTCAACGACTTTGAGTCTCTTATCTATGGTCAGAAAGTGTTCACAGACAACCTCAGGCTCAACAAAATCTTCATGATCTTCACCTTAATTACTGGCAGCATTGTAGTCAAAGAAAGGATCTTGAACAGTCTGGGAAATAGTGTGGACCACAGGTCTGGACTCAACAAAAACAGGAGCTTGAAAAACTGGTCTGCCAGTTTGACCAATCATAGCAATAGATGCAAGAGGTGGAGAGTAGTTAGGAGGTAAACCAAACTCTGGCCAAGTAGAAGGTGGCATTTGAACAGGTTGAGGATCAGTGCTTGCAACTTCTTGGATGACAGTCTTTTGAGGTGGTTCCTGTCGCGGTGAAATTTGGATACCAAGCTATTGAGGAGCTTGAATCTTATTCATTTGCGACCGAACTTTGATTTGTCCAAAGGAAGGGATAAAGATCGAAATTCCCACAATGCAATGCAAATGCAAGCTAGAGAGTTATAAGTTCGGGGGTTGGTTAAACTTAGGGAAGGTGCTAGCATCCTAAGTTTCTGTAGTACTCTACAGGAACCTCTTGTTTTATGTTTGTTTATTTGTTAAGGGTTATCTGCTTAAGGATGAAAGTCCTAGGGGTTTATTTCTAAGTATACTCGATAAGATATCGCATCTTATGCCTACATATCCTTATGGGAGTGGAATCATAGTATCTGTAGTTCCCCTAAAGGGTTTGAGGAGTTCTTTGACTGTGGTCAAACTTCCTACGGGTTTAGGGTAGTTGATTGATTGATTTTAGGAGAAAAGATGAGTCATCATTTTAAGGGAGATTACTTGATTTAACCACCACAACTTTGTAGGAAAATAGTCTTTGCATCGTCTTAAGAGAAGGGCTCAAGCACTCGGAATTTAATCGACAAGTACACCACTATCTCTCTTAAGGCAAAGTCCCTACAAATTGATTGATTAAATTGTTATGGGGTAGGAGTTTTATCCCACTTAAGATGATTAACATATTATTCTCTAATGTGTTTGAATAAGTTTGAATTGAGTTGACTGTTTTCCTATGTTGTGAAATAAAGACAAAGGTCCTTCCTATGGGGTAGGATCTATCTTAAAAGATCGACTTGAATGGGATCAAGGATCATAGGGGGATATGATGCAAATGTAGATGCATACGCACAGTTGTTTAAATCATGCGCAGATTCTTTCTTTGGACGGAATGCAATGCGAGAAAGATAAATGTGATAATGTTAAATTGCGGAAGATAAATTGCGGAAAGTAAAGTCATACACACGCATGAAAGCGCTAAATGAGTGAAAGTGTGAATGTGGGAACGGATTGGAGATGTGCACGATTGATTTTATGCGAAGTTGATTTTAAGGAGGATGTTGTATTAATTTTACACGAGGAATTAATTTTAGGAGGAATTAAATTCATTTTAGCGAAATTCTTATTTGTGAAATTATATTAGATTAGATGAATTTATTTGGATAAAAGAGTTGGATTGATTAATTATCTCTAGTAAAAGAGTTTGACGTGAATTAATTTTAATAAAAAAAGGTTATTTGATTATTATTTCAGTGAGTTAAAGTTAAATTAGATGAATTATATTTTCTAAAAGAAATGGTTTTAAATAAATAGTTGGAATTAATTTTTTGTGAAAAGTGTTGGATTAGAAGGAAAAATTAGCTTTTTATGGAATTACAATTAAATTTTAAGAATTAATTAAACTTTAATAAAAATGAAAATTAAATTAAAAATTTATTAAATAAAAGGTTTTCAAATTTTAGATTTAATTATAAGTAAGAAGTTATTATTAAGAATAGATTAAATAAAAAAAGAGTTAAATAATAAAAGATCAATTATATAGAGTTTTATTAGTTGATGAAAAAAAAAGTTAAATATTAAAGATTATTGATTAAAAAAAGTGTAAATACTGGCCAATTAATAAAATGGTTAATCAGTTACTTAATTAACTTAAATTGGTTTTATATTAATGATTAGACTAATAAAATTGGCAGATAATTAATTAAAATTAGTTCTTAAGTTATAATCAGGTTGATTAATCAAGTTATTAAGTGGTTAATGGGAGATTAAGGGACTGGGCGTATGGTTGTGTGTGTGTGTGCAGAGAAAGAGGTGTATGGTGGGATGCAGATTGGAACGTTAGATGGTAATCCGTTGGAGATCGTGTGTGTGTGCGTGAGGTGCATGGTAATTACGGTGGGCATGTATACACAGGATTATAACAAAAGATTAACCGAAAAAGAAACAGAAACCCTAAGATTCTCCCCTTTTCCCTCTTCGCGGCCTCTTCACCGTTCTTTCTCCTCGCCTCTTCACAACCCCTCTCTTTCTCCGTCTTCTCTTTCCGCCTTCAATTTTCCCTTCTTCCTGCTTTTATTCTTCTGCAAAACAAATAGAGAAACACCAACAAAGGCAAACAGCAACAACAAGAACACAAATACCCTTATAATCCCCAAATTACAGAAACCCCAACCCCAAAACGAAATAGAAATGCAAACCGAGCATAGCAAATCAACGGAGAGATTTCCGCAAGCGACGCTTCGGACCAGGAGTGAGACTTACCCACAGCGGCTATAGATTCTTGGTGAAAAGGCGATTTCTGGCAGTGATTGAGGACTCAGCGACGCAAGGATTTTAAGGAGATAAGTTCCTTATCATTCTTGATTTACGAGATTGGGGTTGATTTGGGATTTTCTAGGGAATTTCTGTTTATGAATGTTGTGGGTTTTGTATCTGTGTTTGTGAATCCGCCCCCTGTTTTGTTGTGGATTTCTCCTCTATTTATAGGCGTATGCATAATCAAACCCTTGATTTTGAATTGAATGTTGTGATGAATGATTTCCAAATCTGTTGCAACAAGTTTAGACAATACCATATCTCATTGCCTTTTACGGTTTAGCTCTGTCTGAAGCGTTTTTCGTCAATATTGGAAAAGGATTGATGTCGTCTTGATGGCAATAAATCCTTTTCAATCGAATCCTTCTAAAATCTCTTGTACTAACTGATCCCTTTTTGACAACCTTAACTCAATGCTTCACTGGTGCAAAAGGAAAGGAGGAAACGTGCGACACTTGTATTGCCTGTCTCTGGATTTGGTGCGAACTCTGAATCTTGCAGGTGATCCCTTCAAAATCTGTTATGTGCTTAGCTTTGGTTCTCTTCTTCAATTCATCATGAAGGTTGTTATATGTTGCTCTAAGTTTGAATGATGTTTTGATCACTCATTATGAATGCAGGTTGCGCAGATATGCTCAAAACGTGTCGGTGGAAGTTGAAGCTGCTTATTAAGGCCTTGTATATGAACTGAGGATCTTTCAGTTTCTTGAATGACGACATTAGAACCTGATGATGGTAATTGATTTGGTTGCACCATTTGAACATCATGTTCCTGAGATTTTTTAGCACTAATGTCCATAGTTGAATAGGTCAGTTCACTTTTCACTTGGATAGCTGAAGTATTATGAGAATGGTCTGCAGTAGCATTCATACTTCTCTGATGCAGTTGTGCTAATGCATGGGGATCATTAAATTTTGTTCCACTGGAAGTAACCGTTGGCATTCTTACAGGGTGCTGCTGTCCAGAAGAACCTGCGTTGGCTTTTGTTTGTTGTTGCACTTTTGTCAATGCTATTCTAAGGAATGAATTCCCCACAATCCCTTTCATAAGTCGTACAAAATGATCTTTGGGTATTTAATCTCTCTTCAATTTGTTAATTAATGTTTGAAGTTGCATGGCTCTATCTTTGGCAAGTTGGGGAATCAAGATAGGGAGCAATAAGCCAAATGGCACCTGCTTACTACGATTGATTTGGCTACTAGGTTGTTCATTTATTGTGGCCTGTTGATTACTCATCTGCTGCAATTTTGCATACTGAGATTCACAGTTGAGATTATTTGTTTTGATTACCTCATGGTTAAATACAGGATCTTTTTCAGATTTCTGAACTTCATTTGTTTGAGCATGCTGGTGGGAAACCGGTAGTTGAATAAATAAGGTAAACTTTGCCATCTCTAGTTCTTCTTTATGCCTTTTTTTGTGAATTATGTTTCTGGAAGGAAAGTGAACAACATGGCCTTGATTTAATTTTGTGACAGATTCTAATTTACGGTCGGTGTTGAGGTTGAGTGTGGGGAAAGCGCAGTGGGCTGGACCTGCAAGCGTCATCAGCATAAAGGAGTGGTGTAACAAGCATCGTTATCGATGAAGTAACTTAATCCACATATTCGAAATAGCAAGATCGCCGATTTTAACGCCACGGAAAAGCTTCACAAGCGCTGGGTCTCCCTAAGCATGGCCTTCTGCTCAGGTTGAAATGGATGTTGATTGAAAATGCTGCTGAAGTCTCATTGGCGAAGTTTGTAAATGTTCCAAATTGTCCATCCACGGAATCCTTCGCGGGTTCTTCTTTAGTTTACCTTAAGTGACTTGTTATTGTATAAAAAGTTTGAAATACATTGGATAAATAACTTGGCAATGCAACATCTGTTAAATGCCTTAAGATATAATGTCACATTCTTGAACAAGCCTCAATATCAAACTTATGTTACCAATTGATAGGATTAATGACATCAACCAGTTGTTTCTGTTGACGTGTAACAACTTAATTTTATTGTTTGAATATGGTCTCCACTAGTTGTTACCGCAAATAATGCATCTTTTCCCGTGTAATAGCCTTTGAGGAATGAAATCAGATTGCCTTTATAATTAGAGTCTTAACTTAAATTCCACCGTGGCCCAATATTTGTGTATGAACTTCAATGTATAATTGTTATAGCATGTGGTTTTGAAAAAAAGTTCTGAACATAACATCCTTGGAGTAGAAATTGTGAATCAAATGATATGGCTTTGTAGAGTTCTAGCATCTTCAAATTTTTGAGTCACAATTTGATGAAATTCATAAAAATAAAATCTCCTTAAATTTGTAACTTGGGCATTTTGAAGGATCTTGGATTCATCCCCCGAATATGTACTTTGTATTTTAGGCTCAATTCTGAACTTCGACAACTTTGTAACTTGAGTGAACATAAACTTTACAAATTTGTGTTAGAGTAAAGAGCACTTCTTGCCGAACCTCATGGATTGGAAGATGACCAACATATGATTTGGATGAACCATATCTTAAGCCTTGTAAACATAATGAATCAATTAATCAAGATCTTTATCTCATCCTATCATGACCAATAAGGAAACTAACTTCTCTCTTAGACTCAAACGATCTTGACGATCCAACTTCGTGAATGAGGTCAAAGTCTTTCTTGAATCGGGCTCATCAACGGAATAATCATGAATCTCCTGCCTTTTAAAAAAAATCCCGATCCAACCTTGAAATTTATATTGCCGTAAGGACCTTAAGCAAACCTGGAACACTCACGTTCAACACCTCAAGACCCCTTTGAGTTAGAATCTATTGGTCACATATCAAAATGCTTGAATGTGAGAATCCACACCTGAAAATACTTCACCTGCGCAAACTGGTTAGTCACAGTGAATATGTACACAAAAGTGAGAGAGAACAAGCAAAAAAAAAACAAGGAGGTGGGGTCTCATGGTCAAAAATTAGGGTGTGACAGTTCCCCTCTAGCAATCAGGACTTGAAGCATCTCAATGAGCTTAGCTATACCTGATTTCAAATCATCGATCTCCATTCAGATCTCTGTATTATGCACTTCTTGCTTTGATATTCTTCGTCTGTGATTAGCTCTAGTCCTATATCAGTGTCGAGGAATCAACTTGACTACTGAGAGGTGACACTGAAAGATAAAGACAGCTAGAAATAGTGGCTATACAAACAGAGGTATGCAATGATTCATGAAAATGATGAAAATGATATGCAATGTGATGCAACAGGATACAAAACACAGTATAATTGGATCAAAAGATTCAGGATCACAAGCGTGGAGTTTGGGTGAAGAACCAACCACAGGGTGTGTACTAGGGGTAAAGCACCTTGATAAATCGATTTAATATCACAATTTTTGGCTCATTATGCATATTTTTGTCTGTGTTTTATCGAGTCTTTATTGTTATTCTGTCACACTTTTACTTCGTTTTTGCTGTTTTCAGGAATTAGTGATTCTGCATAGAAAAGTAGCAGATTTTAGTGATTCTGCTGAGATGGTGTTCACCATCACTTATTGGTCGCCTTCAACATTGAAGAAAGCATGGCACTCGCCATGGCCCTTACGGCGATCGCCGTACAGTCGCAGCAACAATTTTTAATTCTGAAGCAGTTTTAGAGCAGTTATCAGCAGTTCTACTTCCCTCCACTACTTCATTTCGAATTCCTATTTGTTGTAACTGATTGTTGGCATATAAATACAAGGTCTTTAGGTAGTTTTTAGGGGGGATTCGACTACGGAAGCATTGGTGTTTTCAGTTTGAATTCTAGGCATTCTTAGATAGTTTTAAAAGCAGTAATTACTCACATAGAGGAATTACTGCAAATCTGTATTTTCCATTGTGTACCAAATATTTTAAAGTTAATTGAAGCTCGTTGCCATTTTCTTTCAATTGTCAGTTTCTACAGTTTTTTTTTATATTTTACTTCGAATTGCACGGTTATTACTAATTATGCCTTAAATTGTTTTATTGTGTTAGTAAAATTAAATTGATGTTTTAGTATCTTAAAAGTAATGATGGTTATGTTTGGCTAAATCCTATTGAGTCCATCGTTGAGGATCGCTGTTACCGGCAGGACTCGGTAGTGAACTTAGTCCAAAATTGTGGTTTTTAAGCCGTTTCGGTTGTAGTTTCTAGCCGTAATTTAGGTAGCTTTGTCGCTAGAGCAACAAGTTGCTTACCTTTGCTTTGTCACGAGAGTGAGAAGCATATTAAGGTTTGAGCAAAGATCCGCGAGAGCGTAAGGAGCGAGCCAGATAGTAGAAACTAGGCATCCCGTCTAAAAACAGCGAGAGCTCTTTAGACGTCATTTAGGATCTTTCAAACTTCCAAAAAGTGTTCTTAATTACCGGGAGAGCGAGAGAAAAATCTTGGGGTTAAGCAACGCATCTTTTGTCGAAGCCTTTGAGTCAGTGTATCCTACAAAATAGGCATCTGACTGTAATTAGTATTTGTTTCCTATAAGTTCCTTAGGTGCGCGAAGTTCTCATGTCGGACTCATTTTATTATTTAGTTCAGTTTCTAGTAACTCAGCCCCGTTTCTAGTTTTGATCCGTTGTTAACCATTAGCCTTAGCTTTGCACATCAACCATAGACCGCAATAGTTTGATTATCTGTCCCTGTGGGTTTGATAACCTTTTTAAGACTACACGATCAACTGTATGCTTGCAGATTAACCTGTCAAGTATTGGACGGTCATGATCAAGTTTTTGGCGCCGTTGCCGGAGAGTAGATTTAGTCAATATTGTGAATCTTTTGCCACACAATATAGACTAGGGAAACTTTTTCTTTTTACTTTCTTTCTAATTGTCGATTGTATGCCAAACACTTTCTCTCAAGGCGAAGAGTTAGAGCAGCCAATTGACGAAGTCGAGCATTTTCTTAATTTAAGATGCCGAATAAACGAATTTCGTATTGAATATAACCTTCTAGATCCTATCGTGCTTTACTCAGATTCAGAGATCGAAACCGAGCCAACACAAACCATGGCCCAAGGACCTCAAACCCATCCTCTGAAGGATTTCGCTGTCCCATCGCAAGATGAACCTCACAACAGCGTTGCTGCCCCAACAATCAATCGAAATGATTTCAAGTTGAAACTATCGCTGTTGCAAGTTGTTCAACAGAACTAGTTCTCATGAAGCCCAGCGGAAGACCCGAACTTACATTTATCCGTTTTTGTGCAATACGCTGACACTGTAAAAGCAAATGGTGTTAGTCTCGAAGTGATTAGAATACGTCTTTTCCCGTTTTCTTTAAGAGATAGAGCTAGAGCTTGGCTCCAGCCTCTACCATCAAATTCCTTCACAACGTGGGACGAATTGAAAAGAGTCTTCTTAACCCGTTACTTTCCACAAAGCAAAATAGCTATGCAAAGAGCGCAAATTAACGGTTTTAAGCAAAATGACAAAAAATATCTTTTCGATGCTTGGGAAAGATATAAGGACTTGATGAGGCTTTGCCCACATCATGGACTCGAACAGTGGCTGATAATCCATACCTTTTACAATGGGCTGTTGTACAACACCAAAATGAACTTAAGCGACGCAGCAGGTGGTGACTTAATGGAGAATTCGTTGAACTCATAGAGAAAATGGCTCAGAATCACTTCCAGTGGGGAGGAGAACGTGCTGCTCTCGAAAAACCAACTCCGAAAAGCAGAACGTACGAAGTCAATGCCATAGACCGTATAAATGCTAAAGTTGATGCATTGTCTCAAAAGATTGAAAGCTTAACCTTAACACCACCAACAACCAGTGTGGCTTCTGTTACACCAAGTTGCGAGTTATGTGGAACCCCTAGACATACAAATGCCGAATGTCAGTTATTGGATGGTATCCCTACCGGCCAAGCAAACTATGCTCAAGGAAACCCGTACTCGAACACTTATAATCCTGGTTAGAGAAATCACGTGGATTTTTCATATAAGAATAACAGTGCCTTGCATCCACCAAGCCCAACACCTGCTACTCCACCTGGTTATCAGAAAGGAGCACCCTTTGCTCCACAAGTGCCTAGAATGTCAAATCTAGAAATTATGATGG